AGGCCTTTCCACATATCTTTTAACGTGCCATTTTCCTCTTGTAATTCACTTCACTTCACTTTCTCCTTTGCACTTATACACCCTATTCTACTTTCTTTACAATCAATTTTGCCTTATACTTCAAAATATTTCTTATTTTATAATATTATTTGACCTTTCTAGTGACTACTGAATTCCTTGTGGATCCCACTTTAAATTTGACATTTTTCTGACATATCCTTTTAATTAATCTACAAATTGTCTTTCGATTTTAATATCTTTTATTAACTCTTATTCTACCTTATTTTTTAACTATTTAATCAAACTCTGGCATTTTAACTTTTGTTTGCTATCTACCAATTCTGCATTTTAATTAATTTCAACTATATTTTTCTTATAACATCTTGGCATATGCTCCAATTGACTAACATGATAATCAACTCAATAATAAATTTTGTAATAATCATTTCAACCATTGCCTTTACCGCTTTGTCTTTTACATAAATATTTAATTTAAATTTTACTTTTCTCTCGTTAATATGGTTTCATCTCAATATATATATATATATTATTTTAATACCTTAACGAATTTTATTAAAAACATTGTTTGTATTTTAGAGCCCTGAGGATGGTGTAAAATAACACCGAAACGTTGGCAATGATTTAAAATATAGTGTTCTTTTATTTGCATTTTATTTTATTTACATGCTTTAGCATGTTGTGCTACTGCTCGAATGAAGTTGCGAATCATTTCTGATGTTATTTGCTGTATTGATTGAAATAGGTGGTTCTGCAATTCATTCAAATTTGCCACTGGTGTTCTGTACACCAACGTTTATATGAAGCCCCAAAAGAAAAAAATCACATGGCGTTAGGTCTGGAAAACGAGATGGCCAAGCAAATGGACCGCCTCTGCCAAGCCAACGTCCAGGGAAAGTATTATTTAGGTAATTACAACGTGCTGAAGCATGTGTAGCAGCAGATGGTGGAAATTTTGAACAATTCTTTGTCATAATTGTTTATCAAATGATTAAAAATTGAAAATTTTTATTATTTTTGGGCATTTAAAATTGCCGTATCTCGGAAATTATCGGTCTGTTCGAAAATTGATATAGACATTTTTATGACCTTATCCAGCTTAACATGATCCCACTGTCTGTGTCCGCGAATTTCGTAACACCTTGTATAATAAGTAATTTATTTCTATTTTTTTTATTCATTTCAGCTCAACGGTGCTTCTAACCGAGAGCCCCCAATTTTTTAAAGTAAACATTTGGAATGGCAAATGCTTATACAGATATACAGATACTTATTGTTTCTATATACGAAAATGTATTTTAACAATTTTGGAAAACTAATATGTGATTTAAGGATATTCGCGATAAATCATCAAATCTTTAATACTGAAACGTACTGATCTTCCAAATATTGAACAAACTCTTTTTTTAATTTGACCTTATTACATAATTTAAAATAAAATGTGAGTTAAAGTGTCACAAATTTATGTGATTAATTTATAATTTTCGTCATAGAAGCGTTGATTTTATTGTTACTATCCAACACTAATTTGGTGAACGTAATGACATTATGTTAGTAAAACAAAACATTGAAATATTTTTGTGCTAATGAGTTTCATCCAGAATACCGATTTTATATCCAGAGTTTTCATAACACGGGAGAATTCGTACCGCGAAATAATTTTAAAATTTCCTGTTCTATAGGTAAAATTTAATGAAAACATGCTTTCTATTTTTATGTGTATTACATTGAAGCCTCGCAAGTCTTGCAGTTGAAAATTAATTAATGCATCGAAAAATGTACATGAATAAATAGCTTACCTAGTCCTTAAATGAATGTAACATTCTGTTTTCGTTTTCCGATTACTCGTCTTTTTCTTAATAAATATTATTATAAATCATATTTGTAAAAAATTTAGGTATAACTAAAATATATCAATTTATATCTTTACACCAATTTCATGCATTGTTTCTTGTTAAAAAAAAATTAGCTTAATCTTAATGAAAATACTGAAACCGATCGATTTGTATCTCTAGGAGAAAACATTTAACTGAAAACAGTTTACATTTATGACCCTCTCGTGTATTATTCGACCATCCCCTATTAAAAATGTATACAGAAAGAGGAAAGAAAATACTGTTTTCTGCAAAGGTATTAGTTTTTATTAAACTATTCCTAGTTTGTAATATTTTCAATATATTGGCTGAATGTCAATATTTGCACCGCGTAAATGTAGAGCTGTATTTTTCATAGCATACTATTTGTTACGAAGATGAAGTATTATTTACAAATAATTAATATAATTTACTTAAAACACACAGCTGTTCTAATTCCTAAAGAAAATTTATTGCATCTTTTAACCAAGGCAGAGATAAAACTTTCCAGGGAAAATTCGCTGACTGAATATATCGAAATATCCCGTAACTTCAGTAACGGAGACATCTGGTAAATGATAAGAACATGACGAGAAAAAGCACAAACGTCCGTTTTGGTATAAATAATTTATTTACCCCTCTGAGCGAACCTCCTTTGTTTAAGAGTTCTCCCTACTGGGTAAAAAACGCTAAACCGGTTTAGCACCGGCGAAAGAAATGTATGAAAGGAATAAAATATTTCAGGCATTGAGGGAATAATAGAAACAATGGTTTATATCCGGGCTCAATAAAAACCCGCACTAACCGTAAAAATTGAACCTCGGGTCGTTTTGAGGAAGATCTATCCAACAGGAACTAATAAGGTCGTAAAAGAAATAGTGTTACATTCGTTAGCTTCCTCCAAGATAGTTAAAGCCTTACAATAAATCAAAAATATCGGTCACATACTCATTATTGACTTTGAATTTTTTTATTTTAGAATATGAAAACTTTACAACTAACTCTAAAGATGAAATTGAATATAAATAATAATTTATTGGTTTCAAAAAATATAAATCAAAAAATATATGTTTAAAGTCAATTTTGATAATCATAACTTTTTTATTTTGTTTAATATTAAAAAACAAATTATCTCATTATCTTACTAAAACTGTTTTTTTTTAAGAAAAAAGAAAAATAATAATTCAGTATTATATATTATTTTGTTGCTTCATAAATAAGAAGCTGGTAATTATACATATTATAGAGTAATTCCAAATTTTTTCCCAATATTTTTCAGACTAGTAGTGCTTAAAAAAATAAAGGGGTCGTACATATATATTTTTTCCAAACTGGATAATAAAATACACCTTTCAAAGGAGAACGACAGGTATATTTTTTGCGAAGTCTTATAAAATATCATATTTATACATTAATCTACGCTGTATTAGTCAAATTGTGTAAGATGTAGTTTTAGTGGAAAATTAATTTTGGCAAATCTAATATATGAGGGTGTTTTTTTTAAATTCTCTTAAGCTCTGGAAAAGTTTAGTAGTCAAATTAAGGGAACCTCGAAAGCTGCACTAGAAGTTATGTTAAATGTCTCATTCTATAGTGATAGAGTGATGGAAAGAAAAGCATAGTTAGCAGTATATCGACTCAGGAATAATAAATGATTGGAGAGGTAGTCTCTATTCCAGGATTATGGAAACATCTATGTCGGAACCAACACTAGGATGGTAGTTCCAAGGTTTCACTTTCATATGCCATTCGAGACTCGAATTCAAAGAAAATAGTAGAAAAAGTTTGATACCTTGGAAAGATAAAGCCTGGTATGGTTTACAGATGGCTCCAAAATGTCCAGAGGGAATGGTGCATTTTATGTGGACTCAGGCCCAGATGGAATGCAAGCTAAAGTTTGGAGAGGTTTCCCACTGCATTTCAAGCAGAAATCTTCCCAATAATGGAGAGTTTTAAACATAAAACATACACATTCTCTGACAGTGAAGCAGCAATGACAGTAAGTTGAAGACTTGTGTGGAAGTGTTTACAAATGCTAACTGAACTGACTGATACTAATACAGTTAGACTGTATTGGGTACTAGGACACAAAGGCATTGACGGAAACAAGAAAGCGGATGAACTCGCTAGAAAGGGATTCGAAACGGTTTCCATTGATCCGGAGCCCTTCTGTGGCACATCTCCCAGTGTAGTCAGGGAGGCTTTGGACAAATGGACTGAGTTAGAACATAGGAAATACTTGGCTTTGAGACCAGGGCAAAGCCATGCGAAGGAACTTATGGAGTGTCTTTTGCAGAAAAGAACAAATGAGTTGCTGAGCTTGAATAAAATTGGGCTCAGGAAAGTGTCGGGACTTAAAACGGGACACTGTCACTTTAGGATACATCTATTCAAACTAAGATTTTTAGACAGTCTGTTCTGCTGAGGGTTTGCATGTAGTAGAATGACGCTTCTGGGAAAGCCATTTTTGAAAGCCGAGAAGCTAAGAGAAGTTTCGGCAAGGAAAACTTTTGGACTTTGTTAAAAAGACAAAGCTACTTCCTGGATAGGTTTGAACAATAGGTCTGATAAGGCCGTGGTGCTAAGGGACTTGAATACCACCTACCCACAGGAAGAAGAAGAAGGAAGGCAACCCATGTATATGGACATAAGTTCTGAATTTCTGAAAAGTTTCTTATGTTATTATTACAAATTTTTATTCTCCTGAAAAATATATTTTTAAAAATATTATGTAATGAAGTTTTGAGGAATATATTGAGTTGAATAATTTCATTTGGTTAAAACTTGTACATGCTTATTAAATGAAGTATCCATCACTATATTATTTTCATTATGTTTACGATTCCAATATAATTATAAATCCAATAGTAACTCACCTCTATCGCAAGTTCAAAGTCTTTCCTGTCGATTGTTCCACTTTGGTTCACGTCTGAAAACAATACAAAAGTAAAATTAACAATAATTCTTGATAATTACTGCAATTGAATCAGTGGTTTTTTATATGATCAGGTACATCGGATTAATAGTTTATATGGCAAGTCGGTAACTAACATCCAGTAATTGAATGATTTTGTTCATACTCAATTTGACAGAACGTCAATACCCAAAAGACAAAGAACTTCGGTTCTAAAAATTATCTGATAAATAGCCTCTTATAAAGTTACACAGAAACATTGTATTTTAGGTGGTGGGTTTTCGGTTTGAAAAGAAATGAGAGGGGCCAGATTGTAATCGATATCTGTTAAGAACTTTAGTACTAGTCCCTATTGTGTTGGACGTATCGAGCATACTGGGTCACAAATGTTTAAATTGATCAATAAGTTTGGCCCCTTAAATTTTAACTTAGTTTGAGCAAACTGGTGTTATACAAGCATTATTAAGCGTTCATCACATGTACACCGCTGTAGGGGTTCATTATAACGCTTTTATCGTCGTATAGGAACAAATAGTAGCTGATGTATGTAATAAAATCAATGTATTGAATGTCGTTATAAGTAATTGCTTTTGTGCTCTGTATGCATTTAATTTATTGTCATGAACAATTATTATTTATAGTAGTCTAGATCGTCGCCGATATATGTGTGGAAAATGTATTATTACAATGTAATTCTATAACTAACTGTAAATCTAGTTTGTAATTTTACAAGTGACTGCAAAAACTACATTTGAAAGAACTTCTGACATTATACAATCACAAAGTAATACTATACGAGCTAGAGGTAAAATTACATATTGTTAAAATCACAATGGATAAGAAAATTATAATAAAAATGAAGTAAATAAACCGCCATCTGTATTTTTATTCTAATAAATTTTTTGAGTACAGTTTCTTTGGATGAAAATGCTTTGGTTTGTATCGACAAAAATTTGCCTCGTTAAAAGTTATGACCATTATACATTTATTTTTTGCTGGAAGCGATTTTGATATGTCCTAAAAAATTTTATTGTCTAATTTTGCCTAGACATAATTTATTTATTATTAACCGGTTGGGTTCTTTGTTTTTCTTAAACAACGGCGAGTGTCAACAAAGTGCAGCCGCAGAATGTCATTTACCTGACATCGCGAATGAATGTTAAACTTATTTCAAAGATGTCATGCTTATGGCGTGGTTAATGTAGTGATGAGGAGAATAATACGCAGGAAGGCCTGAAATTGTGAAATTACTGAATTACTAATAAACTAAAAACTTAATGAAAAAACGAATATCGTGGAACTATTTCTACAATGAGTAGAACATTTTTCTTAAGTATCGCCACTCTTTAGAGGCATTATTGAACAGCGTCTTGAGGTCCACTTTATCGTAATACTACATATTTCCCAAATTTTTAATTAAAACATTTTTCACTTATTTAGTAGCAAAATTAGAAAATATAATCCGATGCACTCACTTGCTTTGCTAGCTATTTATTTTGCCACATTGTTATATTGGCAAAATAAATAGTGTTTTTTTTTAGAACGTAAATAAAAATGACATGTGCTGATATTTTATCAGTATTTATGTTTAGTTTCAGCTTTAACAGCTTCTGGCTATACTCCAGCTGGGAGATTTATCGAAAGGTCCTGCTGCTATATAAGATCTCAGATCTAACATAAACAACATTAATTTTCCAAAGAGTTTATATACTAAAGTAAGGGCCAAGTCCTAAAAACCAAACTGGTTTAACTGATAGTGACTCTTGTTTGATAATAATTCTCGGATTTTGTTTGTTGTAAATCGATCCAATACTGAAACATATCAGTTGAGCAAATATAATATATTTTAGTATAAAAAAAAGTACCTAGTATAGTTTTTCCGAAGTCAATTGAAGAACCTATAATTTCAAGGTATGTACCAGGCTCGATCGCTAAACAGCAACTCGGCATTAAAATATTTGAAAAACTTGTTCCCATATTTATTTAGCCATACCCATATATAGGTCTAGTCGAACTAAACGTGCAGGTGGTAGATATGTATACGACCAGTTGAGGAATGCGAGCGCGGGCAAACGAAATGTAATACAACTGTATTGGGCTTCTGGCAATAAATCACGGCAGGCGACAAGTGGTTCATAAATTGCCCAGCAGTGCAGTGCTGCAGTGCGGAATTTGGTGTGAATCAGGCAATTTTAATTTATTATAGGCACCTTCTATCAATCATTCATATTACAATTGCGAAAGGGAGAAATAAGAAGGATATTTTGTTTACTAATATTATCACAACATGGCATTTTGGAGACCTTTTGAAACGGAACAAAACCAAATTTACCACCAATATAATAAAATTGTTTGAGGATATAAATAATTAAAATATGTTGTTGGCCAAATGAACATATATAATAAAAATTTTCTACATATTATATACAAATTATTATAATTTTTTACCTTTAGCAGAAATTTTTTTTAGGGACGCCTATGAAACTCATTAAATTTTATTACCAGACGTTTTTTTGCATATTCAACTGACTTCGGAAGGACTATAATTAGGTAACATCTGCAGTTATATTGAACTTCGACTTAATCCTCAGTATTTCAGATTGGAGAATAACAATACTACAAAAAAATATCTTTTTTCTGTAAGCACAGAAGACTAATTAAATAAAAAAAATAAATAAAAATATTCATCATGTAATAAAAAAGCAAATTTTTATATTCCGTTACAATAACTATTTTATATCTTTTATTTTATATATTTTTTTATCACTTACGTACTTACTTTTATGTTAATTTAAAGGTATTAATGTTATTTTAAAATATCTCCCAATATTATATGCTAAATGACAAATAACGATCGAAGACCATGAAAATAAATATAAATCAGTTTGAACTGACAGGGAGCATTTATTAATATCAATACAGATTAAACGTTAAACAAATGTCATAAAAGCTATATGAAAAATAATTAACAATTATTACTATAACAGTAAACTTTCAAGCCATTACGGGTGTTATAGGATAATAATGTTCTCGGCAGAGGTATAATGTCGCCCATGGCGCATTTTTATCATAGATCATAGATATTTAAATTTATTACTTATTTAAAATAATTTGTGAATTTAGTAAGTACTACATATTTTATTGAAAAAGTCGAAACAAGTTTCTTCTGGAAGACGTCTGATATAAAACGGCTATAAAGAAATGTTTACTTGATCGACGTAAATACAGTAAATTCCACATTTATTTTAAGCAATATGTCATAACAAGTATATCATGTTATTGCATCGGCCGTGGAATATTATGCACTATAAATTCAAGTTAATTGCTAATGTCAACGCGGAATTTCACAATGAAAGATGATGGAGCAATTTTGGCCCCGGATTCGGATTCAACGCGGCAAAATACATAAGGATGAATAGGTCTACTCTCTGCAACAGACCACTTTTCTTTTTTGTGTCCGTGTTATTAAGCATTGGAACATTGAGAAATGGAAAAGTTACATAATGTATTAACCTATTAATGTTGCGTCGCCTTTATAAAACTGCTAGTGTATTCTACTATAATTTTCAGTCATTCGTAATAACTGCTTTTAGTTTAGTAGCGGAAACTAAAGCCATTAGTCACTATTTGTCCAGTTAATCTCTCACACATTTTCTCTCGTACCGCTACGTGAGAATTACTTACTGCAAATAATTTATGTGCGTCACTATATTTGTAAGGCGATCATTTCTCTCAAAATATGCATTAAAAATTAGAAAATATCAGCCAAATGGAATAAATTCAGTAATAACTGGGGGCGTGTTCGAAAAAACGCTCGGGCACGTCGACTTGTATTTTTAGTTGCGCATTTTTTTCAACGAAAACTTTTTATACTTTTTTTGTCAAGTAACAGTGGTCAATACCAACTTTCTTATTTTAAGTGCAACACCCTGTACATTATTCAATTTTTGGAATCTTCTGAAAATTCTAGACATATTTCATGTACAAAGTCCTATATCTATCTTCAACTGTTTCGAAAATTTTAAGTGTTGCAAAAATTAACATTAAAAAAGAAAATTATTTGATTACAGAAATTCGCTACAACACTCAAAAACTAATAAGTAATACTCTCTATTTATTGATAATGTAAAAAAGCAAAAAAAAACATTAATATCAATGTAGGAGATGTTCAACATGCTCGCCGCGAACGTCTTGGCAACAATCTTAAACAGAAATTTCTTCTTACGTTACCCAACATCTCAGGTGTGACTGATCTATTCGCAAGAGTTATTCGTCTTCTTAAGTCAGCGAAGTCGATCGGTTTAGTTTTGTATAGGTACAATACTTTTGACATATCCCCATAAGAAAAAGTCTAATGGTGTCAGATCAGGGGAACGCTCTGGCCATTCCATCGATCCTCGCCTCACTATCCACCGATTTGGAAATATTTGCCGGACATTGATTTGGTAACGGGGCGGTGCTCCATCTTTCTGAAACCATATCATATCCGCTTGTGGGTTTGCTGGATCAGGATTTGTCAAAGTTGGCATGACATTATTTTGGAGCGGTGCTAAATAATTATCGCCATTCAAATTGCCATCAATGAGAAAGGGATATATGATATGATCTGCAACAATTTCTGCCCAAACATTAGCCTTTTCAGGGTATTGCGTATGTTTTTCTGTAATCCAGTGAGGATTTTCATTAGACCAATAGCGGCAATTTTGACGATTAGCATGACCGTGAAGTGTAATCCTGCACTCATCAGAAAACAAAATATGTTCTAATTGGATAACATTGTTATTTGTTATCTAACATTGCCATCATTTGTTCACAAAAATATGTTTTCCTATCAAAATCGTCTTCCATGATCTCCAGAGTTGGTTTCATTTTATAGGGATGCATTTTATTATCTTTTAATAATCGAATAATCGATGAATGGCTAGCATCGAATATTAGGGCTGCTTTTCGACTAGAAGTATGTGGGTCTTCCTCAAACTCAAGCATAATATTCAATTTGGTATCATCACTTATTG